TGCATCACAAAGTGGGATGACAAAGTTTGGTCAAGGTATTGTTACCCGGCAGGCCAAACATGGGAGGCCTGCCTTGTTTTCCTTATTGGTAGCAAATTGGAAACAAGGACACAAGTACAGTATACAGAAAGCACTTGTCTTTGCTTTGGAACCATTGTTTTAAAAATTCTTTGGACTATTGGGTCCAAAGCCTGGAAGGCAGCCCATCTGGGAGAAGGAAAACTCTGATTTCAAACCTCCACTGCCTTGTGGCTATATCCACTGGTGGAAAAGGCTTCAGGCGTTAACCTCAAGGCAAAATGCAGAGCCGGAGTCCCGGAGGCAGTTCGTGTCATTCTGTCAACTCCTGCGACGTCGCTGAAACCGATTGTATTGGCTCTTGCCTTTCCATTGGACTATTTCAGTGACGTGGAGAGGGGGATTTGCTGCTTGGGTAACAACCTATTCTCCGTATTATTTTACCCAGGCTTCGTGCCCTGGAGAGGACACTCCAGCTTTGCATACAGCATCAAAACACTAGACGCTGTTCCAAGTCCTCCATACAGAGCATGTTACCATAGTCTCTCGAGACTGAAGGATGCCTATGAGTTTCTCCACCCCAAATAATTAGCTACATCATTTATTGTTTCGCCTTTCTTCTCCACTTGCCTTACTTTTAAAACCTTACCTGATGAAGAGATAGTTGTCTTCAATCCTTGCACCTTTTTGCGCCTTTTTGTTCCTATCAAGATATCACCTCAGTATGGGTTTTGGAATTTGTTTTGAATTGGAATAGTTGTCCTCAGTTTTGTTTGTTTGCAACCACTAGATCAGATTCCAAAGTAAACCGGAAGGACACATTCTGGTTAACACTACTGAGCTCTCAAAAGGCAACAGCTTATGTCAGTTGATAATCACCTGATGCAGCTGAGTGCAGTGGCTAAAGATGGTCTGATGAAATAAGCTGTTGGTTACAAAAGTCCTTGCAAAAAAAACAAAACAAAACAAAAAACCAACAGCCTGCCCTGAACTATATGTTATAACCCCAAAGTAAAAAATGTTTTATGACATGATTTCAGTTTCTGGTATGATATGAATAATGCAGGGTTGGCTCCCATAGTCACGTTTTATGCATTATTCTGTATCAGAATCACCCAAACAAATCCAATTTTTTTGCTTGATTTTTACAATGCTTACATCAGCTCTTTCTTGTGTTCATATAAAACTCATAAGGGTTGACAAACTATAGTAGGATGCTAAAAAGTAAGCTAGAACTTGGACTGTGAGCCTGCCAAGAGGAGATATCAAAGAGATGAAAGGAGCAGAATCAAGCAGATCTCTTGCTCCATTTAAGCAAATATACATAGCTGCGTGTTTTGTGAATCTCTTAGCACATTGTAGCCTAGCCCAGCCATTTTCAGTCTTTTTTGGCCATGGCCATAAACACAATATGAAAGAAATACAGGCTGAATCAGGATTGTAGAAGTCATATAACAAATCTGATAGAGTATGAAGAATTATTTCCAGTCTGTGACTCCCTTCAAATGTTCCCGGGCCTTCCAGGAGGCCATATAGCCCCCATTGAGAATGGCTGGCTTAGACCACTCTGGTAATGGAATCAAGGCAAGTTAGAGAATATATTTCCAGTTCCTCTGATCGGTCCAAACTTTGGGCATGTCCACACTAGCATGTACAGTGGTGCCTTGCTAGACAGTTACCCCGCATGACAGTTTTTTCGCTAGAAATTTACTTTCTCCGATCGCTATAGTGATTCGCAAAACAGTGATTCTTATGGGGGAATTTCGCTGGACAATGTTGGCCCCCTACTTCGCAAACCGATTTTTGCTAGACGATGATTTTGACAGCTCCCTCCGTGCTCACAAAACACGTGTTTTCGGGACCTAAGCTTCGCAAGACAGCGATTTAAACAGCTGATAGGCGGTTCACAAAGCGGCTTTCCTATGGCCGATCTTTGCTAGACAACGACGATTCTTCCCCATTGGAACGCATTAAACGGGTTTCAATGCATTCCAAAGGTGAAATGCTTTTCGCTAGACAATGATTTCTCTAAACAGCAATTTCAGTGGAACGGATTATCATCGTCTAGTGAGGCACCTCTGTAGATATGATATATACTGTAGATATGATCACTGAGGGCACAGTTTGGATGGTTTATGTGTGTTTCTACAAGTGTTTCTACTTAGAATGATCCATTCTGTCCCTTTAAGAACTGATGCATACCTTTCTGGCCCAGCAGTAGGGCATGCATTCTTTTCAGCAGACTGGTTGTTTAGCCTGTTTAGCTGGGAGATAGCAGCCTCCAGCAGCCTCAGTTTACAACTGCCACTGTGGCTGCAGATTCTGAGCAGGAGTGAGGGAGAAAGTGGGTGGTTGGGGATGAGTGAAAGGAAGTGGGGGGAAGGGGAGAAAGGGGAATGGCACCGAGAGGAGGAGAAAGGAGTGATGTAAAAATATTTCTCTTCCCATGACCTTGTGCAATCAGTGGAAGTGATTAATTGATCTACTCCACACCCAAAACAGCCAGTCTGGACAGGCCCTTTGATAATGAAGATTTTCAAAAATATGAGAGCAAAGGTCTACCTTTATTTTAGAATTGTAGCTTTTATTCTTTTTTGTGCACACTGTATACTGTATTCTGCAATTGTTTCTACAGTGACTCAGCACATAAGACAATAGGCAGGGGAGGTGGATGATTGCTTTCCAGAATGTACACAATGTGTGCCTTGCTTTGAGCTGAAACAGAGAACTGAATACTATATGTTTACAATGATGACTTAAGCTAAACCTGGAGAGTTCCAGCATGAGAAGTCATTCTTATTATACAGTATTAAACACAAAATCCCAGCCTGGAGTTAGCATAAAAAGCCCAGAAAGGTAACTTCTTATGCTTAAACGGTAGGGAAAGCTGAAAGTAACTGGTAGGAGGAAGATAGTAAGCTGTCACTTGGTTTAATCCAGGTGTACCATGCAACTCAGCCAACTGTTCCATGGTTTGTCTCTATAGCAGGAATAAGCCCTGCCATGCTGGCTGAGGTTGATGGGAGGTGTAGTTCAAAACATCTATTGGGCATTAGGTTTCCTACCAATGCTCTATATTAGGGGTTCCCAATCTCTGGTCTGTGACCTGGCAGTGGTCTGCGGCCTAGGTAGGACTGGGCTGCAGACACATTTATTTATTTATTTATTTATTTATTTATTTATTTATTTATTTATTTATTTATTTATTTATTTATTTATTTTACCCCGCCCCTCTAGACCATGTCTACTCGGGGTGGCTTACATAGATAATACAGATCTCCTCCTCCCCCTGCAAGCACCCCCGCAAGTGCCACTGCGCACATGCTCGTGAGCTCACTCTGCCCTCTGCGAGTGCCGTCACCGAGTGCACCGCCCCCTGCAGGCGCGCCACACACAGCCAACTGGTCTGCAGTTGGGAAAAGATTGGGGACCACTGCTCTACATTGTCATCTAATATGAATATATTTGATGACACTTTGCAGCTGCATGAACACAACCCAAGTGGTGGGATTGGCATCTGTGCGGCAAGCTGAGACACCCAGATGGCTTTCTATGCAGACCTCGTGGCAGTTGCAAGGGACTGTTCTGTAAGAAGTTGCTTCCTGTTTATGATAAGCACAGATATCTTCACTAAAGCCAGTATTTAGCAAGAACAATGGTGCATTACACCTTTGTGGAAGACATACATAGGAATGTGACTAAAGAAAGCTTGGAAAATGTCATATTGGCCATAATGTTTGGGGGATTCTAAAAGTAGAGTACAAAAATAACTTTTCCAATCCCTGCCTTTTAAAGTACAGTACAACTAAATGTAATTTTTGTTAGTTCAAAATGCTGTGGAGTCCATCAAATTGGCAACTTCCCCTGCTGCCACCATTCACCTCTTACCCCTGCTGTCCACCCTGGCAGCTCCACTCATTCTCCTCTCTTCCCTTCCCTCACCATCACCACCACTTGCTTCCTTGCCCCAGTGCCACCCCATGATTTCCCCTCCCATTCCTTTCCTCCTCAGTGGGAAACACTGAAACAAAATGATCCAAATGCGGTTTCTGCTTTCATGGTAAACAGAGGATCATGAAAAGTCAAAAACTAAAGAGGTCGCACCGCCCTCCAAATGAACTGAATCAGAAACAAATGTTTTTTCCATGACCTTTCCAAGAAGAATATTGTCTATAGCTTATTCCTGTTTTTGCAGCCATGTTTACTAGCCTTAAAACATATGGTATCAGAAGTAGACAATGTGGAGTAGGGCGACCCTCTCCCCCTCCTCTTCGGAGCTTTGGACAGCTCCCCTTGCCACAGCTATTCCAGGCCAGGTGAAAACAAAATTGAGACGTCAGGAGAGGCTGTGGATCCGCCCCCGGGATCCCAAGCCTTCCTCTTTTCTTCACACTCATGGAGAAATTTGGTGGAGGAGCAGGAATCCTTCTACTGGGAGCAATGGGAGAGAATTAAAAACAAAAACAAGCAAGCAGCAGTAAAAGAGGAAGTTAAAAGGTGGAAATGCTTGGGGCCCTTCCGCCCTGTTCTGGTGTGGGGAAATGCAGTTCCTTTGCTCTCCTCCACATAACTGTCCTATAAACATGCTCATTAGGTATCTTTATAGAATTAGATATCCAGTAATATTAATGTTCACACACATTAAAAGCTGAGGACAGATTTAATTTATTCTTACATTTGCATATCGCCCTTCTTTCAAGAAGCTCAGGGTTTTCATGTTTTTGCTTTAGTTTGCCAAACGCTTGTAGTTACCACTCCATATTACAAGCAGCTTATTTGCCTTACCTTCTGTTTGTTCTGCAGTTGAACAAAGATAAGCACGTACTCTGCTGACTATATATTTGCCAGCTTGGTATATCTGCTATACTAGTTTTGATTTATAAAGCATGACTAAATTACATGTGAAAAGTTAACTACCTTTAAAATACAATATATAATGTGAATATAATTTTCATTTAATTACATCTTCATGTTTTTTGTTTTGTGTCTGTTAAGAACATTGTATATACAAATAATCTAAAATCATTTGTGGCTAATTACAAATAACAATAGCAGATGAGAAACATTAAGCACAGTGAAGTTTGTATTTCATAAAGGCTTGATCTTGCAAAGTTCTCCAGGTATGTATAGTAGTACTATTTTCTTTGGGGCTGTTCATACTATGTACAATGTGCATGTTAAAAGTCTTTGCAGGACTCATAGCTTAAAATATATATATTTTCAGACTTCTACAAGCTAAGTAAAATATTGTCTAGCAGCCAGTTTTGTTCATATTGATATATCTGGTTTCTCTTTCAAGATGTGCACATGTATCCAGAGGAACATTAAAGCTTCAGTGGAGTTGTATTCACCAATGTCATCTAGACCTATTGTCACAGAGTGCTGTCCCAAATCAACTATATGCTTTACAATTCTTGGCTAAGTGAGTTTGGTGGAGATGGATTTGTAAGAGAGCCACATGATGCAGACAAAATAAATACAAAGCATATGAGAGCCACCACTACTTGTGGGCGTTAGCTTCTATGAGCAAGCATCCAAAAACAAGAATTGCCCATGTAAAAGGTGGGATATAAAATATGCTAAACTGACTAATGCTGCATTATAAACTGGCTAGGAGCTTTATTACTGCCAGATCTAATTATTCAAGCAACATGAATCTGACTTTAAAAATTCAAATATATTGTAAGCTGGAGTGCCTCCTTGTAGGCCTAAAGATTCCGAGTTCAGCATAAAGCATATTCTTGTTTTTCTTCCTCAACATGAACTAAAACCTAAGGTATAAAATTCATGACAATATTCTCTGGACCCAAAGTAAATTGCTTCATAGGGCACCTCAAGCGAATCAAGAGTTATGCAAATTTCATAACTTGAATGCACTAAGGGTGGTGTAGGTACACATCATGTTAGAACTGAATCTTGTATTCTGACTCACATTTTCATTAATGATCAGTTCAGCAATAGAATGGCATCTAAATCAAGAATGAATGCCAAGGTAAACGAGGTAATTGGGGCGCCTCCCTAGGATTAGCAAGTACAGCAAGCAAACAAAACACCTCTTAGTCAGGAAATCTGAATATATTGCAGTTTGCCCTTTATTTCAGTCTTACCTTTTCTTTGTAGACTTTTTAAAAAAGTGCTGTCAATATAGTCCTGACTTACAGCAACTCTCCTGGTATTTTCTAGGCATAAATTACTCAGAATGAGTTTATTAGTCCTTCCTTCTGGTAGCACTTTGGGACCATGCACACATAGGCTCTTCTCCCAGGAGCACAGTGCAAAACTGAACTCCTGACCTCTGGCTCATAGTCGGGTGTTCCAACCCACCAAACTATACAGCTAGATTTGGAGAAAGTAGCAGTCTTAAAAATAATATGGACAGGAGGAGGGAGAGAGAAGTTGTTCCAACTCTTCTGACTATGCTGCAGCACATCAAGAAGTACTGAAAAAATGTATAACCCTTCACTTTAAAGCCTGCTCTTTGTATTCTTCAGTGGCAAACAGCTAAAAAGAAAGATACATGTAAGGATGTTCAGGTTGTAATCCTATACACTTAAGTCGGGGAGCAAATCCCACTGAATTCAGTGGGATTTACTTCTGAATAGGCATGCATAAGATCATCCTGTCAGACCCTCTAGGAAAACAAGGTGTAGCATTTTGATAGGCCATGAGAAGTAAAGATATTGCCAAGGACCAGCTTAGATGTAATCTCTTCTTCATATCCTTTTTACATGATGACTTAGACATTTAATTACTTAAATCAGTTATGCAATTATCATAAGTATACCATACAATAACTTCAAAGTCAAAATATAGCTATGTGTGATCTTGACCATGGAAGACCAATGGAGACATTCAAAATTCATTCAGATGTGATGGCTGAGTCTTGAGCATGGGGACATGGGAGGGACCAACTTGATCAAAAAGGTTTACAAGTACATTCAGGTTATACTTTCATGTGATCCTATCACTATTAAGGAGCTAATGGTTTATTAGGACCAATGGTCACGGGAATGCTGGATCTGCTAGGAAAACGAGAGGTTCCCTAAACTCTTTTGATGACAAATAAAAGCAATAAAACAGCTCGGGAAAGAAAGAGGTTGAGTTGTTGGCAGAGTTCTTTCTGAAAAATAACCAAAGTAAACTTAACTCATAGGTTTAGGTTGTATTTCTTGGGTTTTACATATACTGTACGCCTATGAGTTCCTCCCATATTCCATATTGGCCTAATCCTGGCCTTACTGTATTATATAGAAAAGCACAGTGGAAAATATGGGAACACGATTTCTTCAAAACACAGAACATTTCTGTGAACATGTATCATCGTTGCCCACCACTTCCATGAAGCTTTCTGACAGTAACAACAGGCCATATGGGAAACACCAGTGCATAGATTGTTTTAAAGTCACTTCTGCTTCAGTTCAGCCTTTCTTAGAACATGAATTCTGACCTTCCTCATGGTCTGAAATTCACATACATAAAAGTTCTGTATAAAATATAGAGATATAAAAATAATACTTCATGCAATACTAGAACCTCTCTCCCAACGTAATTCAGTTTCTGTGAGGGGGGTTTAGCCTCCCCTGTGTCAACAGTGCAGAAGGAACAGTCAGTCTGGATTGCAATTTATGTAGCTTGTGCTCCGAGCAGTCTTTTTAATTTTAATGGGGTGTTTTATTTTTGCTCTGTTTCCCTTTTTTTTATGCAAGTAAATATATGTGACAAAGAACGAAGTTGAGGAACAGATCAAATTTATATTGCAGAATCAATTCTCTCTTGACGTCGCTTCATGATTTCTCGAAGTTCTGACTCCCCTCTGCTTTCCTAGAATAAAATCATAAAATATAAATAAAACGTAAAAATTGCAGTACATTGCCCCCTTGTAAATATAAGTTTCATGACATCTGCTTATACTAATAGCTTTGGGATTATTTATTGGATTTTTTAAAACCTTCTGAATAATTAACAGTACTTTTCACAAAACTTTGCTTGGGAAACCAAAGGAACAGAGATGAAGTACAGTATGTAGAAATAAGCTTGACATAGAACCCAGAAGCGTAGGATCTTGTATCTGTTTTTCTATTAAAAGTACTTGGCAATTGACATATGTCACTGCAAAACTGTCAGCTAAAAGCAAGTGTTTCCCTACCACAGCATGCCTTTATCTGGCTGAACCCAGTGTGTTTGGACAACCGATCAATCCTAAACCCTTTTGTGTTTTAAGATGATCTAAACTGCATAACGGTACAACATAGTTGGACAACAGGACAATCCCAGTTCAGTCTCCCCTAATCTACTGTTTTATAGATGTATTGGGCTACCATGCCCATTGCCCCTGGCAGTATGTTGTCTGGGGATGGTGGGAGTTTTATACATTTAGAAAGCATCAGTGGCTAAGGTGGTGACAGTTGTCGTCCTTTATATCTGACATGCACCAAGTTGGGAAAGGCAACTGTACTGCAGATTATTGCTCCTTCTGACCTATTTCTGTTTCCAGTTGTTGCTATACGCCATGAACTGAAATCCAATATATGGCAACTTTTTACAGTGTTTTCAAGGTAAGTGAGTGTTACAGTCAGCCATAGCATTACCTGTCCGTCACAGCTGGGAGGGAAAATCTCAGCCAATGAGGGGGCAGAGGGTGGTGCAGAGGCGGGAGGATCTGTGATATATAAGGTGTGTGTGAGGTGTGAGTGGGTCAGATAGGAGATAGCAGATAGATGAGAGATGAGTGTCTGAGCTGCGAGTTAATATAGCTCTCACAGACTCTTTCAGTGTGAAAGAGTCTGTGAGAGCTAGTGCTTGAGAAACAGTAATTGATTATTTCTTTAACAGTGATTTACCATTCCTTTCTTTTTGTATTCAGTAAACCAAGTTTTTATTTTTAAAAGTTATACTGGCCTGCTGTATGATTTATTTATTAAGGAATGGTTGGTGGCAGTAAAGAAGAGTGAAGGGTTTTAAAGTGACATGATGACCTCCCTTTGTGAGTAGAGAGGAAGGCCGTCACAGTGAGATACTTAAGGCTTTATCACTGCCATTCCCTCAGTGTGAGTTTCCATGGCCAAGCAAGGATTTGCTGTATCCTAATCCAGGTCTGCTGTATCCTAATCTGAAATTTTGTCCACCACACCACGTAATGATTGTTTTAAATGTATTAATTAACAATCTCTTAATAATACTAAAATATGAAATGAATTATTTCAGTGGAAATTGACTATAATCAAACAACAGTGTACTAAAATAAGGGAATAATCCACAAATGAATGTCTTGTTTCCAACTTTGTGCAACAGCTAATTTATAAGTATATTTTTTAAAAAGACAGATTACACTAAACAGCATACTGGAATGTATACTATATCTATTATTCCAAAAGGCAACACAGATTGTTAACTTTATCATACAAAATATATCCAGTACTGTATTTATTTAACCAATAATCAGCTGAAGGAGAGGTTTTTGTTTTAGTTATAAGAAACAGATATGTGAGCTGCTGCCAAGAAATACATGATAATTTAACATATTTTGGAAAGATGGTGCTTTTGACATGACAACACTGTCTGTAAATTGGTTTGATAGTAGAACCTATCAAAAACAGGGCAGATAAAATGTAACTGGTCACATGTTTTCATTTCTTCTGTTGTCAAAAAGCAAAGGGGAAAAACATGTTTGGTCTTTATATGAGATCCAGAAGGAAGGATGGCTACTACAGTATCTCCATTAGACCAGTAAAATATCAAAAATTGATAAGCTTCATAAAGGTATTGCCCACCCTTCTTTTGGATTTGGTTTCTTCTAGGCTCAAAATCATGAAACTTCTAATCTTAGGACATACCCCCAAAATATTATACCTACTCTAGTAAATCTGTAAAGGAGCCCACAACACTTTTTCCTAGATATATTCGTTTTAATCTTCATGAAGTGAGGTCCCACCAAATATGAGTTTGTAAAAACTTTGTTTAAAATCCACGTTTATCACAGCTCTTGAAATGTATTTCTAAATTCATTTTCTCAATGTCCAGAGACATCTGTTTCCCATTTAGATTATTAAAGTTTACCAATAATTTCATACATAAGATTTATGATACACTTCAATTGATTACATCAAATGTTGGAACATTGGGCTCTCCAGATACTGTGAGACTATAATTCCTATCAGCCTCAGCTAGCTTAGTAAGGGGTAAAGGATTATGAGAGATGCAGCTAGATTAGAGCTGCAGCTAGTATGGCAGTTATATTTCATACGTTTTAATTTTAATATTTTTTCTCCCACCTGTCATACAAAATCCAGGTTTTTTAAAATCTCTCCTTTTTTAACCTTTCAATTACAAGTTAACTTAGCATTTATAGCAATGTTCCATATTTCATTATACCATTCTTCCATTTGAACTTCAAGTTTTGATTTCCAATTCCTAGCTATTATTAATCTGGCTGCTGTTAATAAATTGGTAATCAAGTCTCTAGTCATATCCCACATTTACATATATTGATAACAAAGCTATCTCAGGATTAAATTCTATATCTCACATATATCAGTTAATTCCTTAAAGCTTAGTTTCCAAAATCTTTTTACTTTTTAACACTCCTACCATATATAAAAGTATTTACCAATTTCCTTCTCACATTTCCAACAGACATTCAGATAATTAGAATTAATTTTATTCAATTTTATCAGTGTCAAATACTATCTTAAGCTTAGTTTTTTAAAATGTTCTTTTATTCTCACCAACATACCGTATTTTTTGCTCCATAAGACACACTCCCCCCCAAAATGTGTGTGGGGGAAGTCTGTGTGTCTTATGGAGCGAAGCTGGCGATTTCACCCCCACTAGCCTCGTGGGGATGTGGGGGGAGCCTCCCAAGGGTCTGGATCTGCCTTCCAGGACCATTGGGAGGCTCCTCCCACCCCCACGTGGCCAGCAGGGGCATCGCCAGCTTCCAGGATTTTGCAATCCTGGAGAGAACACTGGTGGAAGACACATCAATAATGTAAGATAATGCAGATGACATAGTCTTACTGGCAGAAACCAGCAATGGCATGTAAAGATTTTTGAATGAAAGTGAAAGAAGTGCCAAAGCATATTAAATAAATATTAAGAAAGCAAAAATAATGATTACAGAAGTACACAATTTTAACATTGACAATGAAGAAAGTGAAATTGTTGGAGGGTGAGGTTTCATTGTGGCAAGACTGGTTGAGTTTTGGGAGAGCTCCTGAAACTGAGTGGGGCCCTTAGGTTTCAAGGCCCCCAATGTAGGGGACAAAAAGACAGTCCACTAGGAAAAGCGGCATCTGAAGCAACAGAGGCAACAGAAAGGGGAGAGAAGTCATTGGAAGCTGCTTCCCTCCCCCGAAGTCTTATCTGAGTGCATGGACCAAGGAGGAAGCCATGTTGGGCAAAGAGCTGGGAACACCCTTTGCAGTCTGGGACTCTTCTGAAGCTTCCCAAGGCCCCCTCTGACCCCTGGGTGGGGCAGGGTGAGTCTCTAAAGCAGGGGTCTCAAACATGCGGCCCGGGGGCCATTTGTGGCAGGCTGCAGTTCCAGATGGAGGGTGCAAGAGACGCTGTCTTGGTGGAGAGCTGAGGTGCAAGAGGCGCTGTCTTGGTGGAGAGCTGATGAGCAAGGTGCACTGCTGGGCCTTTTTCCAGAGCACCCAAGCCACCGCTGAGCAATGCCTGAGAACTAAGGAAACTCCTGGGCGGCTTCCTCGGGCTCTTGCTCCGCTTGGCAGAAAAACTGATGTGGCCCACCCTCACCCAGACTCTGCCTCCAGCGGCCCCCAGGTAAATTGAGTTTGAGACCCCTGCTCTAAAGGGTCCTGGAACACACCCTAGGACCCTTTAGAGACTCACACTGCCCCCGGGGGTCAAAGAGGGCAAAATCGCCACCTTCTGGGACTCTTTTGAGGCTTGGGAAGCTTCAGAAGAGTCCCAGAAGGTAGTGATTTCACCCCTTCTGGCCTCTGGGGGGCTGGGTGAGTCTCCAAAGGGTCCTAGGGTGTGTTCCATAAGACGGACCTCTCCATAAGGCTCACCAATTTTTAGGAGAAGAAAACAGATTATTTTTTCCTGTTTTCTTCTCCTAAAAATTTGGTGCATCTTATGGAGAGGTGCATTTTATGGAGCGAAAATTACGGGGTAAATTCTAAAACCCTCATTTTCCGTATCTTCATCCATTCTTCACCATTTATTCTTTTTCCTAAATCTTGTTCCCACACTAGTTTCAATCCTTCATTCTCAAACTCTTCTTCTAAATCTGGCAGAAGTCTATAAATTTTACTTATTTCACCCTTCACTGACTCATTCATCTGAATATCTTCATATGATAATAGAAATTGTTCATACTTTGTACATTCTTTACCGTTATTGTACTTCTTTACCCATTCATTAGTCCATCTTTCTAATTGACTATAATTCAACCATGATATATTCTTATTTTGAAGAATTTGTTTCATTTGATCTTTTGATCTCATTTTATCCAACCAATCTTTTAATCTATAAAAAATAATTTTTATGATATATGGGGTAGATGTATTGAATATGTGCTGACAAAGGAAAAGGGAAAGTTCCAAATCCGGAATCAATGCAGTTCTGGAGAAGAGGACAATAAAGGAAGAAGAAGAATAAAGACAATGGAAGAAGAAGATTACTGCAAGAGGTCCTGATTAGGGTGGTGGGGGACACAATTGATTTGTATTTTGGTTTATGTATTTTATGTTGTAGTTTATAAAAATAAAATAAAGAAGAATTCCTTAAGAATTTTTTTAAAAAAATTCAGGTTTTGCCTTTTTCTAATCAGGATGTTGCTCACTTGCCAACACTCACACACATCTCTATATAAGTGTGGCAGTACATTCATTTCAATGTTTCCAGCCCTCGAGTTGGATCTCCCACATGAATGTATTAGGCATAAATTAGATAAATCAGATCTTTCAAATTTCAGACTATCCAAATCCTTACAAGCAGAACCTCCTTTGTTTCTACCATGCATACAACAATCTATTGCACACCTGGCTGCTTTTTATTGGTCTTTGTGCAAGGGGGTATTTGCTACTTCCTTGTCCATGTGGAAGCCCCGTTGCTTTAGTGGAATGATCTCCATGTTGCACAGTTACAAAGTAGAGACTATGTAGAGTGGTACATCCACAAGGTGTTGGGTTCCACATTTCCTCAAGAAAATTCAAGACTAAGCATTTGCTAGGTATCCCATGCCAAAATGTAACAAGTATTTACTGCCAATCTTGAAGAAAAAGTGTTTTATCATATTGAGAATTTCTAACTCATTGTATACTGAGAAACAATTTGCTAACAAAGAAAGCTCTCACCTCTAGGAGAGACTTTTGCACAGTGATTTTGCAATACACTCGAGCACCTTCTTCTCCACATACTTTTTTCAGTTCTTCTTTATTCAGAGAGAAAAGCTGTGCTCCTGTCAATATGCCAAGATGGTCTACTGTCCTAGGAAAATGAAGAAAGTAGCATTGTTTAAATTTTTTTTTTTAAGTTTGGGAGTTAAAAGGGAGAAAGAGAATGGGGGATGGGGAGAAAGACATTTTGTTATCTTACAACACAGTAATTGCTGAGTGGAGTATAGCAAAAGCAAGTGTTATAGAAAGCTTGTGACAAAAGTACATTGGCATGGAAGAGATGTGATTCATATAGATATTCGTGCTTGCAAATCAAACTCATTTTATTTATTTTATTTATTTATTTTATTTATTTATTTGATTTATATACTACTCTAGTAACCCAATTACCCAACATTAATCATCTTAAATAAAGAAGCAATATATACAAAACCAAAATGATGGTGGAATAGGGAACACATATAGAATAATTTAAGAGAGGATACCGTTGAATGCCTTCAAAGGAATCTTGTGGTTAAGTCTTGAAAACCAATCACAAAACAAACAAAACTTAATTTGCAAGTGTTGTTAAGTAAGAAAAGCTTTTGCTATGTATCTGTGAAGATTCTCAGTCATTCAGGTGTGGTTCTCTGTAAGCCGAGTCATGTCAACTGGACTTCTTTCTTGTTAGGTCGAAACGTTTCGCTGCTCATCCAAGTAGCTTCTTCAGTCTGAGCAGAGTTGGTAGGAGATATATCCTGATATATCCTCCATGTCAGTTTCACTTCCCCCTGGTCTAAATAAGCTCGTTAGAAGGACAAAGGACTGGGGGTGAGGGATAATCCCACTTCTGCAGTCCTTCACCAATTATAATGGGTTGTTAACATTTGTTAATAGTAGTCTTTCTGGTGTGTGTGGTCCTAATTTTTCTGGGGAGGGATAAAAGGGCAGCATGATAAATAGGAGAGATATTGTACCGAAGGCCCCCACCCCTGTTGAGTGAGGGATTTTCTATACAGTATGCACATGTGTGGCCTCCCTGACCCTTCTCTCAAACCACCCATCTTCTTGGTCCAAAATGAGTACATCTTGGCCATCAAATGAGTGCTCTCTGTCCTTCAAAGGAAGGAACACTGCTGATTGTGGTCCTGAGCCGTTGCCCCTCCTGTGATGGGCCATTCTCCTGTTTAGTGGCTGTTTGGTTTCTTCAACGTAGAGCTCCAAACGCTCCTCTTTGCATTGGACCGCATATACTATATTGCTCCTCTTTTGTTTTGGTATCCGGTCTTTTATTTATTTATTTATTTTATTTATTGGACTTATATACCGCCCCATAGCGCTACAAGCACTCTCCGGGCAGTTTACAATTTAATTATACAGGCTACACATTGCCCCCCCAGCAAGCTGGGTACTCATTTTACCGACCTCGGAAGGTGGAAGGCTGAGTCAACCTTGAGCCGGCTACCTGGGATTTGAACCCCAGGTCGTGAGCACAGTTTTAGCTGCAGTACAGCGTTTTAACCATTGCGCCATGAGGCTCTCTCTTTTGGGTGGACGAGTCTCTGCCTTACTGTGCTTATGGGTTTGAAGTGCACGGGTATATAGTATTTGTCAAAAATCCTTTTGAGCTTTTCAGACACACCTGCCATGTAAGGCAGATACTTTAAGCTTTTATGGAATTTCCTCTTCAAATAACAGATTAATCTCTATTTCTCCTCCCAGTTTATGGAACATTAATGGTTCTGCTCAATGTCCTTGATTTTCATTCAAAAGGCTCCAGGCAGATCTCACAACTCATTTGATTAAAAAGGTCTCCTAGGCAACTCTATAGTTTTATGAGGTGTAAGAAGATTATCAAAAAGATTTACTCTATGACTGTCACATCCCCAGTCAAGAGCAAATGATAACCTGTAAAACTCTGAGAGATGCTCAACTCCACAAAGTTCTTTTAAGTGACAAAAGACATCTTTCTTTTAGCATGCCTCATCACATGTTGTTTTAGCAAGGTACAGTAGTTGCTTCTTTGTATCTTCTCCCCTGCAATTTTGGACACATGGAATGGTAGGTGTATGCATGGCTCCCCCCAATGAGGCGTTGAGATACAATGTAAAACAAACAGACCTAGTCATCACTTGCATGTGGGAACATCTAGAGGTAAAAGTCTCAACTAAACCATTGTTGCTAAAAGTACGATATTCGTAAAAGAGGATTTCTTTTTGCAGGAAGAACTTTAGACCCATACATCTTAGTGGTCTGGTGCTAAGAGAAAACCCCCTTTCACTTTAAAGAAAAACGTGCTCATGAGTGTGAATTTTTAGATTAAAACCAAATGAGAGGAAAGCTTAAACTTCCCCCAGCCACATGTGTTGACTTTAATTTAGACTGATGCTTCAAATACTTATTACATGCTGTGAAGTTACTTTTAACCCATGATGACCCTATAAATGAGTGACCTCCAAAATACAACTTTTCCTCCTCTTCTTTCCTCTTCTTTTTTTTTATTCTCAGGTAACCATGTAGAAAGGTATTGCCCTTTCTACATATGTGATTATATACATACATTCTTTAAAACGTTGTGATGGTACATTTTGTATAATGTATTGTTCAGTTTAAATATGATAGCTTTTAGACTATGCTCCAGAGAAAGGCCCTTTTCCAGCCAGCAGGACTCCATTGCCACCAAAATAGTTTATCATGGAATATCCTAAAGGTGGCAGTTCAGCTGCAAAGCTGTTATAATTTTTTTTACAGTATGCCGTAATAAACAATGACATTCCTAATGAACAATAACACCCTTAATAAATATCCCAGCAAAAAGTAAATATTATTATGCCAATATAAAATTTGAAATTATTCTCCAAAAGTAGTTGCAGAAGGTCATCTACAATGATGCATCTTGTCCAGTTTTTTGAGCAGGCTTCCTACTAAAGCATCCTGCTAAACAAAACTTGTGGTAACCTGCAAAACTATGAGAGATGCTCCACATTTAGAAGCAAAGTTCTTTTAAGTGACAAAAGACATCTCTTTCTTCTAGCATGATCTTTGTTTACTTCTACATTTTGCAATTAATGTGTTTTGTGTGCTTGGTTAAAAGGAGATAAATGAGAACAGAATATTTTGTATAGTTTGATCCTTAGTATTGTAAATCTGACCACTGGCAACTTCACCCTTCGTGCATAGGGGAGATGTTGGTCTCCTGTTTCAAGAACGAACCAAAACTCAAGAGGAAAGTGGAAATGCACCACCTTCCAATCCATTTAATAAGAAAACTTTCTATCCTGCTTCTCCAAGCCACCCTAAGAAACAAGACGAGGAAAGAGAATGGTAGGAAGGGTAGAAACAGATGACAGAAAATTACCCTTTGCTGAAAGAATTTGCTTCTAGCCAAGCTTTGACTTGCTCAGCGTTGGATTCAAACTTCAGGGGCACTTGAACATGCTGAGCCTTCTCAACTTTAAAGTTTCTTTGAGGGGGGTGGACTTTGATATTTGTAATCTTCTTCAGCAGTTCATCATTGACTTCATCCATGTGCTGAATCAATTCTAAAAACAGAGCACAAAAAATTGGAGATGGGGGAACATTAGGACTCTCAATCATTGAAAGGATATCCAGTCATTAATCATCTTTTACCAATTAATTCATTAAATTTAAATAAAGCTGCACAGTAACAATTTTTCAAAGGCATCTACATGCTGAAGGAATTGCAAAAATGTATAATTTAACAAAGAGTATTAGAGATGAGGACAAATTTAAAAAATGGTGATTCGTTTTGATCTGTTATTCATCAAGGTTAAAGGAGCAACAAACACAAATATATTAATATTCTTCGACAAATTGATCTGTTGATTTGTCTGCACTTTAAATGGCTATAACACTGGCTCCCAATGACCTAGAGACACCAAATTTGCAGGGAAGCTTCCACAGACGCTCTTATACAACTCCTGAAAGTTTGGTGAACATTGGATCATGGTCCCCTGAGTTATATAGTCACAAAGAGGACACCCCAGGAAAGCTCCCCTCCAGGTACCTAGAGACTCTAGAACCACAGTGGAGCTTCCTATGTCTTTCCCCAACATTCCTGCCAAATTTGGTGAAGATTGGATATCGGACATCCAAGTTATTCACCCACAAATTGGGTTGATCATAGGGCACAGAAGCCCATTCCGCCTACTGGCCGCCGATCAGCTGACCAGAAGCTGATAGGCAGCCAACCCAATAGCCTACCCTCACACACCCCCTCCTTTCCCTACCTTAGGCCCTATGCTACCCCCACCAACACCCCTTACCTTAATAGCTGCTGCCGAGGCCTCCATCAGGCTTTCGCAGCACGGTGTGTAAAAAGGGAGACTGGCTGCCCTTTGCAAAGATGGTGGCTGTGGCTTCACTTAGGGTAGGGAAGCTGTAGCTGCCATCTTTGTAAAGGGCAGCCTGGATTCCTTTAAGGCAGACCTCAGCAGAGTAAAAGTGTTCTTAGAGTCAGTGAGAGTCAGTGAGAAAGAGTCTGTGAAAGCTAGTGCCTGAGAAACAGTGATTGATTGATTATTTCTTTAATAGTGATTTACCATTCCTTTATGTTTGTAACCAATAAACCAAGTTTTTATTTTGAAAATTATACTGGCCTTATGCTTGAGTTATTTTATTAAGGAATGGTTGGTGGCAGTAAAGTGGAGTAAAAGTGTGTTAAAGTGATGTGATGACCTCCCTTTGTGAGTAGTGAAGAAGGCCATCACAGCCACCGATCAGCTGACCAGAAGCTGATAGGCAGCCACCACCACCCACACGCAGCCAGCCACCCCAATAGCCTACCCTCACACCCCCCTCCTTTCCCTACCTTAGGCCCTGTGCTACCCCCACCAACACCCCTTACCTTAATAGCTGCTGCCGAGGTCTCCATCAGGCTTTCGCAGCACGGTGTGTAAAAAGGGAGACTGGCTGCCCTTTGCAAAGATGGTGGCTGTGGCTTCACTTAGGGTAGGGAAGCTGTAGCTGCCATCTTTGTAAAGGGCAGCCTGGATTCCTTTAAGGCAGACCTCAGCAGAGTAAAAGTGTTCTTAGAGTCAGTGAGAGTCAGTGAGAAAGAGTCTGTGAAAGCTAGTGCCTGAGAAACAGTGATTGATTGATTATTTCTTTAATAGTGATTTACCATTCCTTTATGTTTGTAACCAATAAACCAAGTTTTTATTTTGAAAATTATACTGGCCTTATGCTTGAGTTATTTTATTAAGGAATGGTTGGTGGCAGTAAAGTGGAGTAAAAGTGTGTTAAAGTGATGTGATGACCTCCCTTTGTGAGTAGTGAAGAAGGCCATCACAGCCACCGATCAGCTGACCAGAAGCTGATAGGCAGCCACCACCACCCACACGCAGCCAGCCACCCCAACACCCCTTACCTTAATAGCTGCTGCCGAGGTCTCCATCAGGCCTTCACAGCACGGTGTGTAAAAAAGGAGACTGGCTGCCCTTTGCAAAGATGGTGGCTTTGGCTTCATTTGAAGCTGCAGCTGCCATCTTTGCAAAGGGCAGCCGATCTCCATTTTTACATGCATGGTTCCGAGGCCAGAAGACCTTGGCAGCAGTGATTAAGGTAAGAGGGTGTCAGTGGGGGTGGCATGGGGCCTAAGGTAGGGAAAGCAAAGGGGTGGGGTAGGCTGTGGTATTGGGTGGCTGTGTGGGGTGGTGGCTGCCTTTCTGCCACTGATCAGTTGATTGGCAGCCAGTAGGCAGAATGGTTTTGCTTTGTTTTTTAATACGAAGGACGAATAAAAATGGGTAAATATTCGTCCCTTCGTATTCATGGGGGTCTCTGGAACCCATAAATACGGATCAATGAATATTTAACAAATTGGCTATATTCGTCAGAAAAAGCGATTCGTTTTTATATTCATCCCCATCTCTAGTTAGTATTCATTATTGAAAGACCACCTCTAAATATTTATTTCATATTTTTATAATAAATAAATGGAGCCAAAATTGATTCTGAGAAACAATACATTGCCTTAAAAACTTAGCCTCACTCTATAAAGTTAACTGCTATTAAAATAACTGAAGTTTTAGGCTCTCATCCTACACACACTTCCCTGGGGGTTAATTCCATTGAACTCAGTGGGGCTTAGCTATGAGTAAACATTCATAGGCTTGTACTGTCTGTTGACTATTAAAAATCGTAGCTTTACAAAGTGCATATGAAAAGCAGGATGCTTAAACATATGAGATGCCTATTTACCAAGGATAAGGGAGTCTAGTCATGTGACTCACTGTTGCATCCCACTCAAGGTGCACCCGCAACTCAACTCGGACTTCATTCGCACATTTTTCCCCAATGTCTTGCGCTTCACTCAGAACCATTTCCCATGTCATGTTGAGAAGTCTCTTCCCCCCCCCCCAGTTCCACTGCCGCTGCTGTGCAGGCCCCACCTGCTCCTGCTGCCCCCACACTGTCTTCCAGGCTTGTGGAGATAGCAGGCCTGGAAGGGAAGCTGGGCAGTGCCCACTGTCTCTGCGCAGGTACATGAGCTTGCCCGGCTTCCTTTCCAGGCCCAACGTGAACACAGGTCTGTAAAGCAGCACTATGGCGGCGGCAGTAGCAGAAGCAGTGTGTGTGTGTGTGTGTGAGACAGTGGGGGAGGGGTGTGTGACTGGGGAGAGATGCACAATGGCGGGGGAGGGAGTGTTACAGTAGGGGGTACACAGTGTTGTGTGCGTATGTGATGGTGCAGGACGGTTTCTGACATATAATGTGGCCCGTAGATGAAACATGAATCTAGAAGAGTCCTTTCTTTCTTTTGCCTATGTAATATGAAGTCAAAGCTGGCTGGATAGCCCAGTGGTTTAGGTATCTGACTGCGGAGCGAGAGGTTGGGAGTTCAATCCTGCACTGTGCCTCCTGTGGGTAGAGCCAGACTATGTGACCTTGGGCAGGTTGCACAGTCCCAGGAGGCCCCAAAGAAGGGAACAGTAAATCACTTCTGTGTAATTCCCGACCTAGAAAACCCTGGAAAGTATTGCCATATGTCAAAATTGGCTTAACGGCAGGCAATTATAATTATTAATATGAGGGCATACTCATAAAGTGTAACTTGTTCAGAGCATCTTGTATACTTACGTTCTTTGGCATCAGGAGAATTACGGGCTAGCATTTCACTTCCCCATTTGTCCCCAGCATAGCTGGCAGGTAACCTATGTGAGGGGCTGGAAGGTCCCGTTCCCCTGGGGCTCAAATCTCCTTTGTATTTCTAATTACAGAATAAAATAAATAATTTACAGTGTTATGCTATTATTATTTCTGCACAAAACCTGATTAGTACTGTCTTACAAGTGTGTATATTTATTAAAAAGTAGCTATTCCTGCTTCTGGAGTGGCAGTTTTTGCTTTAGGTAATTGAAGGTCCCAGAGACCCTACCTGATCCCCCCATAAACCCCAAACCATCTGGCTTTCAACTTCTGGTCGTTATCAGCCATTTCCTGATCTCGAGTAATCCATGGAAGGTTCTTAGGCTAAAAATTTACTTTCCAGATACACCAAATACGACCACCCCAGAATAGAGGATCTGATTAGGGTTTGTTGATAATTAAAATGAATCTGCAGCTTAGCATACATGAATTCCAAGAGAAATGTCTGCAAAAATTATCTACAGAATTTGGTACTGATTTACGCTACTTGTAGCTTGCTTGCAACTGACTGAGAACTAAATCTAACCTGTTCAATTGACGCATAATCCTCCAGCTTCACCAAGTCCAAAATGTTATATGGAACATAACCAGCCTGCCCGCTGCGATTTCTCAGTTTCCACCACTGTTTATTATCTTCCAAAACCTGTGAATATAAAAATGATTTATCTGTTGAACAGTATTTAAGTAGTAGTGATTTTAATATGTCGTATTTTATATGTGTATGTTTTAGAGTGTTTTTATTTACCTTCTTTCCAGCACATTTTTGCAAAGTCTTGGACTGTGCTATCTAGCTCTTGCTAATCCTAAACCCCTGAACAGTCTTCTCTTGTACAACATTCTGTTCTGTTAGAGCAGCTCACAGGACGGCCTTCCTACAAAAGCAACAGATACCATTCTGTTGTCCATCTCATTGGTCTCTTTTGTCCAGTACCTTCTGTCTCCAGCTCTTGGGCTATTCCATGTTAAAGAGCTGCTTTTTAGAACATGAACCATACAAGCACTCTAAAGAGGTTTTCCATGAAGGAGCGCAAGTTGTCTGTTTGCCACGGCATGTGATTTTCATCACCTATATGTCTTATATTCAACATGCTTTGTTTTATGGTTGGTAACTGGAAAGTGAGAGCCAGTGTGGTATATAGTATATGTCAGACTAGCCCTCAGGAGATGTGGGTTCAAATCCTTAATTGGCCGTGTAAACTCACTGTGGGTGGTACCAATGGTAAAGCTACTCTTTAAATATCTTATGTACCTTGGAAACCCCTACTAAGGTTGCTATAAGTCAGATGCAACTTGATGTCACATAGTAACAATTGGAAAGTAAATACATGCTTAATTTACACGTCTGATGGTTGAGTAACCAGCTATTGGCAGGAAGAGATGGATTAATTTTAGGGAGTACATATTTATCTTAACATCTGTTTTACACCCCCCTATTATAATTCTGGTAGATAACTTATTGAAGAAGTCTTCAGACAATTTCAAATTCAGATACAGTGGTGCCCCGCAAGACGATGATAAAGCGTTCCATTGAAATTGCTGTTTAGCGAAATCATCGTCTTGTGAAAAGTGTTTCCCCACTGGAATGCATCAAAACCCATTTAATGCATTTCAATGGGGGAAATAGTTGTCGCTGTGCGAAGATCGCCCATAGGGAAGCCATTTTAAATCGCTGTCTTCCGAAGCCTTGGTGCCGAAACACCCTAGGGAAGCCATTTTGCAGAGCCACCGATCAGCTGTTGGAATCGTCCTCTTGCTAAGCATCGGTCCCGAAAAAAAAGCGTCTTCTCTCTTGCTAAGCATTGGTCCCGAAAAAAAGCGTCTTCCGAAGCACGGCCTGAAACTTTGTATAGCGAAATTCCCCCATAGGAAACACTGTTTTGCGAAGCGCAATGGCGGTCGCAAAACCTCGTCGTCATGCAGATTCGTCGTTTTGCGGGGTCATCGTCTTGCGAGGTACCACTGTATAGTAAACACAAACTAATAACAAAAACAACAGCAAGCATATTTCTATCATATTTCTGCATAACACTCTGCAGTGCAAAGTCTGCTGCACACATCGGTACATTCTCTTTTCCAGTAGTGCTGAAGAAGCTTTTGTATAGCATCACTACTATGGAGGGCAGAAGGGTACTCCCTTCCTCCACAATAATTATTTGTCAAGACAGGACTGGAAAAATGCTTGGGTTTATTCATTTACCTCCAGAATTTCATCTTTTTGTACTGAAAGTTCAGTGGCATTTCGAGCAGTGAAATCATATTGAATTTTGGCATATCTCTTTGATGGAGCCATGCCCTGTGCCTCAAAATTCCTGAAAGAAAGACAGCATGAAATTAATACTAGCCTCCAAAATCCAAAATAGCATTTTGAAATAAGTGAAGTTTTCTAACTGGATTTAATACAAATGCCACTGTATCACATATCCAATTGCTCAAAGAAAATTAAAAATATTCTGTGTAATCATAAATGACCTCAATAATGAACAAAATAAATATAAAGTGTAAATGTCACATTAAAGCAAATATAAGTATCTTAGAAGACAATTCAAATCACAATTATTTCCTGATTCTTTTTTAAAGGATAGGTGTTATTGTTTGTATTGTTTTTTTAAAAATAATGGCTGAAATCCTGTTGCATAAGTTGCACTGTTTAAGGCTAATGATTTCAACAGCACTAGTGATTTTTCAGTTATTAAACATTTCCAGTTTCTCCCCTGAAGGTCCTGAGGCTTTTGTGGAATCAGTTTCATTGCTAGGAAACTGCTGGGGGGTTGCAGGATAGGAGAGCAAAGTTTTTAATTACTGAAAATCACCATCAGTGGTGAAGTCATCATGGCAGTGGCAATTTTTGATAATTAAAGATGCCCCTCTCCCATTCCAGAGCCCACAACAACTTCCCAACAATGAAAGTGATTACACTTGGGGGTGCGTGTGTGTGTGGATCAGAAATATCTATGTTCACTTTTCAAACAATTGCCAGAACTTTACATGGTATAACATAAAGGGCAATAGGACTTCAGCTGATATTTTTGATCTGTTTTGAATTATTTTAATTTGTTGTAAATTATCTGGGAGGTCTGGTGGACAGATGGCGGTACACAAATCCTTTGAATAAAGCAATGTAACACAATATATATACACAGTGTAACAACATAACAATATGTAAACTTTGCTTTGGCATACACTTTCAGTAATGTAATAGGAGTGCCCTATTCTGTACTAAGCAAAGGATTCAGAAAAATTGTGAAGCTACTGTGTGTGCTTTGCTTACTCTAGTTCACTGCACTGACTGGGAGAGAAAGCACAGCCTTGATTCAGGGTGACTCCCAACTGTTTAGGCATGAAGATACCTAGTCCCTTACTGTAGGTGCACTGAGTTCAGTTTCATGTTCTCTGGCAGTTGCTTATTTATACTTTAAAAACATAATCTTGATTCTCTTTCATATTCTCTTTTGTGTTAACTTAATCCCTGCTTCGCTTTTCTGTGCTGTACAACACACACACACACTTTAAAAACATAATCTTGATTCTCTTTCATATTCTCTTTTGTGTTAACTTAATCCCTGCTTCGCTTTTCTGTGCTGTATATTTTCTGTACTGATCTCCTCAGTGGCTATAACAATACAGAAAATTCTCAAGATATTTATAGGAAACATACAGATTCTTTGCAAGCCTGACAACTAGAGTAACTCAGGAAGACAGCTTTGAAATCACGTTTGTGTTCTTTTGCATAGAAGATTTTGGTAAGGTTCCCTTTGGGATTACAACTGCCGAAATCCCCACAGCCAGCATGCCATGTTCACAAAGAAACGTCTGTTGCATTCTCTTTAAAGATCTTGCTTCCAAAATACTCCTGAATGTCTTTTCCTCAGTTGCTTCACTGACAATGACTTCTATGTAGTTTTGTTAGTGTATGAGGTTATGAGAACCTCTCTCGTGGATTCGCTTCAGTCTTGTGTTCGAGACTACATTTGGTGTTTTTATCCTTAAACTTTTATAGAACCTCAACACTGGGCAAAAGATGAAGTCATCTTGTGAATTTGGATTTGGAGTCAATATACAGGAGCTAGACAGGAAGGGAAGAAGTAATTTTTTCCAGCAGCGCTCAGAAAAGAGGCCAGCAATAAGCAGGAGAAGGTGAGCTGTGTTTAAGTTGTTTGAAACTTGCCAGGAACAAACTGAGTCACTTGAAAGAATGGTTGAGCCTGGAAGAAGGGAAACATTGAGGGAGAATTACGCCCTCCACAACCTTATTGATAAGCTCATGATCTATCTTACACCAGGTCTCGGAAACCTGCAGTTCTCCTTAACTGTTGTTGGACTGATAGTGCTCTCAGGCTGAACAGGTTGTACAAGGGTGGCTTCAGGCTCCTGAGGGAGCCCAGGATAATGTACCCCAGGATAGTTCTCCCTCAGACTGCCTTCCCCACCCTTCCATTCCCATGTGGTTTGGGGCACTGGTGGGAGAGGGGAGCCAGGAGGAGATCCTCCTATGGAGAAGTGGCAGCCCTTTGCTACTCTAGGCTCTCTAACTTGTTTCTCTTCAGCTTGTTTGCCCAGAGTTCCCCAGGCAGAAGCACTTTACTGCTGTTACTAGCCTTGGCCAAGTACAGTGTTGTAATGCCACCGCACCGTCTCTTTTGCAATGCTTGTTGGTTTTGCCCTGGCGCATCTGTTGGAAACAGGGCTCAAGGTCACTGCAGATGGCTTCTCCAGCAATGGCAACTGCCCCAGCCAGTGTTTCTCTACAATGATGGGATTTTCAAAGGGAATTCATGGCCAGAATGCTGAGCCAGTGGGAGCTACATAAGCACTGGCTGAGCTTTCAACAATTGATTCAATAGATCTACTCCGGCTGAGATTATCAATAGGATTTAGGCTGATTTTTTCCCCAGAAAGAGAAGCCCTGCATTGGTCTCTGTTGACTTCCCTCGAGTCTGTGGGCCCTGGCATTTGCCTGATCATGCCATGGCTATGTATTGAAATTACCTATTTACATGTTGAGCAACATGGTGCGTGAAGGCATCCACCGCTGGCATCTGATCAGATGTCTGGACAGGCTTCAGATTACGACTGGAATATCCATTGGGTGATGACAGCTTTGAAGATAAAACAGAGAAAGGATGTCATTTTCAGGAGGGATACAACATGCCACAAGCACAAAGCTCTGTAAGGTGATAATTCAAAATTATGAAAATGAAATGTAGAAAGATAATGTGTACCATTTTCTTAGATGAAAGATGCCAAACTAAAGAGGATTTCTCTGCCAAGAATGCAAGCATTTGAGTGCAAATAAGTTCAAAGTGCAAATCAGATGACATGACACTAAGGACTTATCGGGCTCACACTTTTTTTCCTGTATAAGAAAGCACATCATAGAATCATAGAATAATTAAGTTGAAAGGAGCCTATAAGGCCATCATGTCCAACCCCCTGCTCAATGCAGGAATCCAAATCAAAGCAGATCTGACAGATGGTTGTTCACTTTTCTCTTGAATGCTTCCAGTGCTGGAGTGCTTACCACCTCCCAAGGTAATTAGTTCCTTTGTCGCACTACTTTAACAGTTAAGAATTTTTTTCCCTGATCTACATCTGACTTCCCACATCAAATGATAAGAAGGAATTGGCAGTATGGGATAGTGGCCACATGTGATTTCAGGGATAAGGGAGCAGAGCTTAGAAAATTCATTTTTTTTGTACTGCAATAACTGGAATCTCCCAGCTAGCACAGCTATTGAACATGCTGGGTGGATGATTTTGGGAGTTAATAAGTCTGAAACAGTAACATTGTAGATGGCTTTCTCCTCCACACTTTACACTTAGTGAGGTAGATCAGGCTAAGAAAGTGTGTGACTAGCTTGTCCCGTCAATTTCATGGTCTATGTAGAGATGAAAGCAGATCTCTGCCCCAAGACAGCACAGGGGCTCGCATGGAAGTTTGCTTCTGGCTAGACTGCAGTGTGAGTCATTCATAATAACTCTGAATGGCTGAAATCCTCCTGGTGCTCAGTGTACTAAGTCACAACTAGAGCAAGCCCATTGAATCAATGACGATTTGATGAGTCAACTCTAAATTCTACTAATTGAACAGGCCTATTCTAATTGTGACTTACTACACCAGGCAACAAGATTTATGACTATTTCAGTGATACATCTGAAAAAAAACCCAGCAGGAATGCCAACATATACTGTGTGTTTCCTCTGATTCAATATTTCTCTGGTGATCTCAAGCTTATGTTATCTGCTTAGCAGCTTGCTGTGTATTTGTTTCACAATTTGTTTTAAGGCGAGAGCGTTTTAAACCAGAAACTCACCTCTTCCTGAAGGTGGCCAATATCTATTTCCCAAGGGGCTCCACGGAAAATTTCCAGGGGTGGTTCCCATCCATTGCGGAATTTTGGAATATAGGTTGGGATGTTGGCATCTTTTGGCCACTCAGCTCTTTGGATACAAATGGAAAAGAAGCCATTTTCTATGCAGCAAGGATGGTACAGCAGCTTTTGTTCTTGGCTCTAGTTGCCATTTTCCAAGTTTAAAGTCAACATTCTGATTTCTTCATGTTTTCATGGCACTTAAGATTGCCACTGTTAGCGATATAAGGCTAGCACACGTCCCGCCCCCCGGAAGCTCTTGGATATAAAAGTTAGAACCCTGTGTCTGATTTACACTTGTACAAGGGAAATGACTCAAGTCTTGGCAGCATTGTTAACACATGTTAACTTTTGTTAACATGTGTTGACAAAATGCTGGTTGTGTTCCTGGCCTCCCAATTGTGTGACTAAGCACACATGCAGGAACACAACCAGCACTATGTTAACGAGCAGCATGATTTGCACCTTCCCTTACACAAGCATATATCCGTATGAGGATTTTAGCCAAATATCCAGAGATGGTTTGAAAGAGAGACAAACTTTGCATATTTTTGTAACATTTCAATCTCTTCAACAGAGATAACCAGGGGAGGGGTGTATATATGGTGCACACAAGCAGCATTAGTGTCTTTCGCGACCTGCCTTCCATTCTCTAACAACTACTGCCTGTCTCCAAACTAAAATGCAAATTGTAGAGAAATGCACGACTGTCTGCTAGCAAGGATTCTTTCAGAAACATTGATGGTCTTATAAAGCTGGGCAATAGACTGCCTTCAGAACTCAGTTGTGAAATTTTGAGCCAATGTATGTTGGTATGCTCTATCCTCATTTTTCTAAATACAGTGAACACATTATTTGTTGGAAGTGACTGGATGCAACTCAGCTGACACTCCAGAAGATTCGTGTCTTTGCATGGGGAAAAGGAGAGGGAGGGAGGCCTCCTCAGGTTTCCTGGACTGTCATTTACCTGCTCTGACATGTACTGACCTTTCTTAAACCTTAGATTGCTATTCTTAGGGTTGCTGATGTTATTTTCTACTCACACCTCTCTCCCTTGTCCCTCTAAGGAGAATATATCTTTCCTTTTTCTCTAAAGACGAAAGCCATGGCTCCTAATATCTCCAACTTAGTTAGAACTAGGACTTCTGTCACTTTTCCTATTCCAAGTGTCTTTCTTTGATAAACAAACACTTTTCTTATTTTCTTAGAAAGAAGAATGGTTGTTATTCCTTTATAAAGTGAGAGGTATGCTCCAGTAATCACTTCAGGTTTCAAAGGGCTGGATCCACAAGTTAACATTGCTCCAGTACTGTTGTGTGTATTCTGTTCAACCTTACTGCCCCACTCCTATTCAAGCAACTTCTTTCCTAAGGGCTTTCCCCTTCACTAATTGCAGCCAACTCTGGATTCCTTTATGGCTTGTTTTTCGGCTGTGCATTTACCTTGACTTTGTCCATGCCTCTCCTAAGGATTCCCACAATGCCATCTCCTTTGGTGTCAGATGTCCCTTCAGGAAATCTGTGGTGTCTTTAGAAAGCAGTGGGCAGACAATAGTTCTTGGAAGTTCAGGACCTCCACAGCCACTAACAATCTAGATGAGCAATCAGATAAAAAAAATGTTCAAAGGTGTCGTAAAACGTTTGGCAGAAAATTGACTTGCAGTTTGCTAGGTTACTAGTAGGCGACTGTAACCCTCAAGATGTTTTAGCCAACAATTTATTTATTTAATTTTATTTAATTCCCATGAGCCCTCCCCAGCATAGTCAATAGTGAGGATTTGTAGAAGTTGTGATCCACAAATATCTGGAAGACTTCCATTTGTCCACCTTTCTGCTGTACACAGCAAGCCACTGTGCCCAATAGGGTGAGACATCAGGACTAGGCAGTATGCCAGGGTACTTGCATGGGGAAAAGCAGAGATAGAAGGGAACCCCCTCAGGAAGGTTGCTGTCCTTGGACAGCTGAAAATTTTAGAAGGCTATAAACGCGTTCTACAAATGTAACACATGTTTAATAGTTACTGATTTATCAGTCATTTATATAAAACATACCCTTAACTGGGTTAGTAATCTGTGTTGCATAAGGGAGAATACATAAAGGAGAATAGATAAATTCCAGTTTAGAAAATTATACCAGTTCCAATGGTCCAAACAGGAAATGTACTAATTCTGAAGCACTTGGATTCTGGATATGTTTTCTTAGTTTTGCCTAAAAAGAAAAGCAATTATCAGATGCTAATGTCAGTCTGATTTGAGGGCTGTGTATGCTCAAAGATGATGCTAGAAAACTACTGTTGAAATGAGAAATGCAGATATGTTTTAGCCATAATCCCCTAAATAGAAAAAAGGCTGACAAAAGAAATAAGTAATATGCTTAGCTGGTATCAAAGTTTAACTTCATTAGTCTTGGAAAGATTACTTAGTTGCCTTCCTTTAAAAAAAACTGACCTTATCATCATATTGTGGTGTCAAGTCAATTCCCAGGGTTTCCTAGGCAGTGAGTGCTAAGAAGTGCTTTCCCATTCCCTTCATCTGAGGGTGCCCTGGAGCTGTGCAGTTTGACAAGCTGGCTCTTCTCTTGGGACACACAGTGGGAATCAAATTCCCAATGTCTGTCTCTGCAGCCAGATATGTAACTCACTGAGCTATCCAGCCAGCTATTTTATTATTATGATACCTTAATATTGCCAATTTAAAAAATGATAGAATAACCATTCAGATAGTTGCTCCATGAGACTTTCAACTCTTTAATATTAACCAGGCTCCTGAAATTTTATTTCTACAGGACCTTTTTTTGTCTTGTGGAGCTGGGTTGGTCTAAATGCAGTTGCACCAGTTGAAGTTCACAAATGTGTCCAAGTATCTTATATATGTCTGCCTGTCTATGGAAAAAAAAAAGACAGCAGCAAACACAACTGTGAAAAATCTTTGGGAAAGCTAGTGCACCCCCACCCCCATGCTGCTATTTTTATTTGTTTTATGTCCAGTCAAGATAAGCAGACTCAGGTTGGAAGCCCTAACTTAGAACAGTGTCAGTGAGGAGTTTTGCAAGGAACTCTAGTTTGTCACATCTACATTAAGCCAGTCTTTAGTTGTTTCCTTTGTTTTGATGTTGAGGTAACTCAATCTTCAGATATAAATGCATAAAATCTAACTAATATAAGATGGCGACATGAAGTGCTGGTGAATACCATTGCCTATAGTTTAGATAAATATATATTTTACAGTGCAATTAGGTTCTTACCAGAAGGTTTAATGCCAGCTTCGTTTTCTGGAAGCAGTCAATGAATTCAACCTCACTTGGAGGTTTTGCTCTCAAAGTTAGAACTCCCTCTTTAAATGAAAAACAACAGGAATGGGGTTAAAGAAATAAAAGAAAATGTGGATTTTAGGAAAAGCAAAGAAACACGAGCAGGAAAATTGTTCATTTTTTGAAGTAAACAACAAGGTATTATTGTAGGCATTTGAGGGATGCTTTATCTCAGGTATGACCAAACTTTGTATTCTCAAAGGCCCACTCTGTTCTTCAGACTCTAGTACACACGGCCAGAACCACCACCTCGGTTTTTCAGATGAGTCATGTTCTAGTTACATAAAAGCCAATTCCCAATATATCATCTATTTTCTGAATACACTTCAGCATGACCAGTAAATGGAACCTAAGATCAGACTGTTTAGGTAAAGGTCTGGCTTGGTTCTGAGTTCTACAGAATAAAGTAAATAGAGTCCCAATTATATGGGGAAAGGTTGAGAAGAAATCAAAAGGTTACTTCTTTCCTCTCAGCCTAGAGGTGCTGGGTGAATGTGAGGTTGTTCCAAGCCCTGGAAATATCTAGTCAAGAAAAGGGGTAGTTACCGTAGTTCTACCACTTTAACAGCATCGCAAAGGAGTACCTAGTTATACAGAAGCATATGGCTGCTATTTGTTCTTGTGTGGAGAATAATTTTATGCCCTTGGGAACACTGCTGGAGTCAGGGTGCAGTTTTCACTGTGAAGAGCTAAAGACAGAGCCAAGGTTTGAAAAGAAGTCCTTTGTTACGCCAGAATCAAAGGGTTTAATGTTGGATGGGAGGATGGAAAGGGGGGGGGGAGAAAAGGGCAGTGGACTTGTGGGCATGACTAGAAATCTCCATTCCATCCATATGCATCAAAATTTACAGGCCTTTAGATGATACAAAAGGTAGCATCACCGAGTGCTAAATCTTGTACCGCATTATGTGCCCAAATGGTATAAGATATTCTGAGCAGAGGGCTAAAAAATAAATGATTTTTGAAAGACCCCCTCCTCAAGATGCAGAGTAGCATTGCTATTTTCCCATTAATCAATATGCATGAAACAGCAGTATAGTAACATGGGTATCAAAAAAACCCACTCCCATGTTCTTTTTCTTGCAGCTGAAATTGTGGGAAAATTTAAAATATTGTCTTGGTTAAATTTTGATGGGGCTCATCAGGACCTGGATGGAATTTTTAAAGGCCCAAACTGAGCTCATAGGCTGCCAAATGACAATCATCCTCCCACCTTTTGCAAGACTCTTCAAGGATGGAGGCACAAAAGTCTGCTGACCTATTCCAATTATGAATGAAAGCCGGAATCCCTTGCACACTTTCTGGGGAGGAAGCCCCAGTGACCCAAGCAGGAGTTCCCACTGGTTAAACATGCACAAAATGACATACATAGATTTTATTGAAAGGTTCTTCCCATAGCCCAGCTCTTTCTACCTGCTGGACCTTTCTTCTTGCTCTTTTTTCCTTTTTTCCTTTGATTTAGCTGCTTGAACGCCTCTGCTGCCTTCTGAAGCTTCGCAACAAACAGCTCGATATCATCTAGAGTACAGTTTAGGGTTTGCTGTGAAGAGACAGATGAAGAAAATGATAATATGAATCAGAGGGCTTGGGGCTATGCATGTTTACTGCATATCTACTGAGTCCACCAAGAGCTAAAATAGGCATGATGTCAGTAGTGTTAAATGTGCATCTTTTTAATTTAAAGACCAGTGACGAGGACGCATGGGATGCCTTAGGCCCATAGCACAGGGAAATGCAACCCTCTGCCAACGTCCAGTGTCATCTCTACGAACCAAGCTCTGTGGGGAATTCTCTTTGGGATTGTTACTGATATCAATCAGAACATCCCTTGAACGGTAAGTAAGAGCTCTGTAGGGGTGATTTTCAGGGCAAACCAAGATATTTGGCTGCCTGGAGCTAAAGTTGAAACACCTCTCAAATTCAGGAGCCAACTGGACTGTCAATTCAATCTCACTTTGAAACTGGCAATGTGATAGCATTTTCCACCATAATTGAATTGCTAGTTTAGTTTAGGGGCCCCAATCAGGTCCTGTTACATATACAGCTCTGTGATTGAGCAGAGACAAATAACTTGGGGGCTGCTGCTGTCGCTGCCCCCCCCCCGCTGTATGAAGCAGCTGCCTTACTCTACCTAATGGTAGAGCAGACCCTAGGTGTTTTTATCAGGGCCATTGGGAGAGGGAAAGTTAGATTCCTTCTCCCTACCTCTTAATTTCTAGGCACGTAGACTTCACTCCATAACACATAAATTGTGTCCAGTGATTGCACTCATAACATTGAATCTAGTTTGGCCTTCAGAAAATGCACTTTGCTTCTTTTCTCTACTGTACTGAAAGCACGACAATCAAAATAATGATTGAAACTTCATTTGCCCATAAATTAACTTTTTCACTCATCCATATATATTGCCTAAAAAGTATGGCCAATAATACTAACCGTTTCTTTCTCAATCTTTTGTGCAAAAAGTGCACGGGACTCTTCCTGTTCTTGAGAGCTGGAGCTACGTCGATCATATTCTGTCAGGCATCCAAAATCAAAATGTTAATTAGCAATTGGGACAATAGGTGTGGATCAAAATAGTTAGTTTTAAAAAATGGCTTAATCAGTAAGTGGATCTGGGAAAATTCCTTTGATATGAATTTTATTAATGCATGATAGTTTCTAACTGTAATGGGAACAGGAAGAATAATTTTGGAAAGAATATTGCTAATCAGAGATTTCAGAGGGACAAAATACTGCATGCCACTGCCGTGCACACCTGGTTGATGTATTTTTGTTGTCTTGGGCACACAAGTCTAGTGACACCTTGACACCATGGGCTGGGAGTCAATACATCTTACATGTACTGTAGTTAAAAACAGTTCCACTAAAAACATCCAGACAAAAAGAAAAAACTCCAACCAGACAAAAACATTGTAGCATCTTAAAGACTAACTGCTACATTTCAAGGTGCGCTTTTGAGGATATACTGGACCGACTTTTTCAGCTCAACTTCATTCAGCAGAATCAAGTGCCTTTCATTGTAGTTTTTAAAGAAGTAGCTGTTTTAGTCTATGTTTGCACAGATGAACATGGCTACTTCTTTGAATACTAAAAACAATGTTAAGTTATAAATTTTAAAACACAATTAAACCAGTCTATATTAAAACACACTTCAGTGAAAGCACTCCAAAAACATGTTAAATACTGATGATAATTTACAATAAAAATTAAATTGGCCACATCCAATTAATATCTCTACATTCTTAAAGACCTGCCTGTTTGTTTGTTTCTTAAAAGGGTATTTGCCTGCTGGCAAAACCTCTTTTAAGACATAAAAATTAAATTCACCACATCCAATTAATATCTCTACATTCTTAAAGACCTGCCTGTTTTTAAAAGGGTATTTGCCTGCTGGCAAAATCTCTTTTAAGACAGAGTTCCAAAGCCAGGAAACAGCCATCAAAAAAAGTGCTCTCTTGCACCAGCACCAAATGTGGCAGGCTTGAGATAAAAGCTTTTTCTGCTAATCTCAAAGCCTAGGTAGGCTTTATGTAAAAATAGTGCTCCCTCAAGTAGCAAAATATGTCTGTTTGTCACACTGCATGCTTCTCCCTTCTATGCCTCTTGCATTTTTTTTGTGCTTTGCCTTGCCGTTAGTCATTGGAAGTTAAACAATGGTTTCAATTGCAGATCTGCTTGCTGAGGTAGAGAAATTGTGTTGTGGGGAGGAAAACTGGCTAATCACAGGAGATACATAGTATTCCCCTTAACCTACAGTTTGATCCTGAGTGTTGCATAAAGAGCATTCTGCTGTAGCCCAAAGTAAGAGCTCCAACAGGATGGATATAAAGGGCAAATACAATGAGCAGTGTGGGCTTGTGAGACCAATGGTCCAGCTGTGCTGCCTGTATATCAAGGGGCCAAAGGTTGCTCCCTTTTTAGAAAAAAAACAGCCCTCCTGGTCTGGTGACACAAGTTGCAACTAGAGATGGGGTATTCGTATTCATATACTGTACGAATATGAATATCCCCACACAGGTGGCGTTAACGAGGTTCCAGCCCCATGGGGCCAGATGGTCCACTTACTGATCTGACGCAGATGACACAATTCTATGAATGGCTCGGCAGTGCGCAATCCGCTCACTACTCCTGGCAGAAGGCGGGAGGACAAGTCTTGCTGCAAGATCGAAGAGTGGTGAGCGGATCACGTGCTGCAGAGCCATTCATAGAATTCCGCCATCCGTGTGGGATCGGTGAGTGGACCATGGGGCTGGACCCTCATTAACGCCGCCTGTGCGGGGATATTTGTATTCATATATGAATGCCCCCATCTCTAGCTGCAACTCATCATGTAGAAATGTACATTTTCCCCAGTGCTCCACGCAAAACCAGGATAAAATGACAGGAAACATTTCACCTGTTTCCCCACCCTGCCAAGTTGATGCTATAGGAAAAAGAACAGGATGAGTTTTTGCTTTAAAAAGTGACTATTCTTCTTATGGTTCCAGCAAAGTTTCACTGTCTTAGAGCTTTGAAGAGGCCAGTTTTGAGAGTACAACTCTCAATATGAGGTGCTGGCTGGAGAATTCTGGAAAGTTTAGCCGCCCAAAATAATTTTTTCAAGTCCTGCCCTGATGCTGCATTATTTCCCAGAGTTAGTCACAAAACAAGATATATCAGAACAGCCAGAAGCTTGAGGGAATAATATGCTGCCCATCCCCAAACTTTGTAGCATGTTTTAAGGACTTCTGCAGTTATTGGAGAAAGGATCAAATGGATGAAGGATGGGCAAAAATAAACACAGCGCTGCCTAATGGCCCTAGGCTGCAAGGATTTCTGCACGATTGCTGTTTTACACAGGCTTCTACAGAACTTAGAGACACTCTGTAGAAACTTGTACAGTCTCCTTTCCATTTAAGTGCCAGGTGAAATGAACACAAATACCCCTCTCTGCTACAAATAAGGAAAAGATGTATAAGAACCCTGCAGGAATTCAAGGTGGTAGTGGCAGTAGAGCTGCATTTTGTCGCTTATTGTGCTCCTTGACAGATTTGCTTTTCTTAGCATTGGAAAGTTTTTGGAAGCAAACAAGCATTCCAGAGTTTAAAAAAAGCATTTCACAGAGAAATAACAAGATGAAGGAGCCAGAAAGGTGGGGGGGGGGAGAGAAAGGAGGGAACACCATGGAACCACAAAGCTTGACTGCTTGTCATGTCATCACTAAGTCAGGGGATTAAGTTACCAGTTGAGGCAGGTATTAAGTACACCTCTGAGAGGCAACTGATGCAGTGAGGCCTCACTCTTCATATAGAGTATTATTATACTTCACAGTACATGAAGTTTATCAGACGGTAAAAAACAAAAAGTGCTGCCCCTAGAGTCTTACCACTTCTGTCTGTGACATGAACATATTCACAAAATATTAAGGGAAAACTGAAGTTAAGTATAGCCCTATGCCTTAAATGGCTTTTTGGACTACCGTTCCTGCCTAGAGTGGTCGAAATGACTAGATGGGCGGGGTATAAATACAATCAATCAATCAATCAATCAATAAGAACCCTCAGTCACCACAACTAGTGGACATGATGGCCGAAGATTATGAGATCTGTAATCTCTCCTCGCCCCTCCATTCCAGCATTTTCAAGTTTTGCCTAAGTAGAAAAAAATCAGTTTACCTCCATCAAAACAGAGGAACTACTGTACACATATCACTTAATGATTATTTCTGGGTGCCAGTATGAGGTCCCTGGTGCTGGATTTCTTGCCTTTTCATTCAGGGTAGCGAGCCCATTGACTAGGTTCATTGTGCAAGCCATCCTCTACCACATTAGCTGGTTTCACAGGGATTTTCCACACCCACCCGCTGCAGTTTCTTGCTTATTATAAAAATATAAACAAATGCCATCTTCCATTGCAAGTCCACATTATTTCCCTGATGCAAAATGAGATTCAAAAATAGCATTCTGCTTCTCAGGGCTAGAGACCAGCAGTTTAGACAAGTCCAAACTATTCTGGAGCAAGGCTGCTTTTGTTCATTGTGGCTTTTGGGCCCCTTGAAATCCTTGATTTAAACAAGATTTTCAAGGTGAATTTCTGCAATAATTTTTAAAAATATATCAATGTTTATTCAGTAAAAGCATGGTGCCCTTTGGTTTGTCATGTGTCATGTACTTATTAAAAGATATATAGCCGAAATTTAACAAAATTCAACAGGGTAGGGTAGTTGTGCACGAGGTTCTCCTACAGGGTCACAGTCCAAAATTGGGCACACAAGGAGATACTTGTGATAGGGGGGCCACTTCTGTGAATGCCCTTACACAACTGTGTAAGTCAATAGAATTCTAGCTGCGCAGTCTGTGAAGATGGTCCTTCGTTTTTCCTTGTAGAGTATAAATGGGTGAGAATTTTGTTTGGTTCATTTTTGGATAAGAACATTGCAGAATTTATTCATAAATTTGATGGAAAGAACTGAAGATTAAAACCATCTGAACATGGCAGAAAATAAAGCTGATAGACCAACGTATGCAGGTAGCAGAGTTTGAGTCTTTAATTCTTAGATGTCTGGCTTTGAATTGGTCTCTGTATATGACTATATAACTATAATGTTTAATGCCAACCCTTTTCTTCCTGACAGGCTCCTCATTTTTAACATCTGTATGGAGGCAGGCACATGGTAGAAACAGCTGTAATTATTGAAACTGACCAGTGCAGAGGGGGAGGAATTTAACTGGTTTACTTTTGATATTTAAAAAAAACCCTGAATCTGCAAACTTCTTCATACATTTAATATAAAGAATGTGACTGTGGGAAAAAAATCCAAGGTAGTGAAAAAGCGAAACTAACAGATATCACCCTTACATTCCCTTGGCAAAGAAACATGCATGCCAGCAAACACTGTGTAATCTTGTATAAAAGAGCAGTGCAAGGGCCTTGGTGCAGATACAGCAGGATACAGTGGTGCCTCGCTAGACAGTTACCCTGCATGACAGTTTTTTTCGCTAGACATTGACTTTTTGTGATCGCTATAGCGATTCGCAAAACAGTGATTCCTATGGGGGAATTTTGCTGGACAATGTTTGGTCCCTGCTTCGCAAACCAATTTTCGCTAGACAACGATTTTGAGAGCTCCCTCCGCACTCGCAAAACCGGTGTTTTCAGGACCTAAGCTTCGCAAGACAGCGATTTAAACAGCTGATTGGCGGTTTGCAAAGCAGCTTTCCTATGGCCAATCTTCACTAGACACCGACGATTCTTCCCTATTGGAACGCATTAAACAGGTTTCAATGCATTCCAATGGAGAAATGCTTTTCGCTAGACAATTTCGCTAAACAGCTATTTCAATGAAACGGATTATCATCGTCTAGCGAGGCACCACTGTACTTCCTTGAGGCTTCAAGCTGGCTTCTTTGCTGGATACCACAGAAATGCGTTGTCATTTCAGCTGCCTCAGATCTGCAGAAGAGGAAGCAGGCACAGCTTCTTTCGCCATGGTTGGCAATGTTATCTACTCTCCCTTTCCTTTCAGAGTTTGGAACTTTTTTTTAAAAAAATGTAACTTGTTCCTTTGTTTGAAATAGTTAAAGTTGTACTTTAGCAACACATAAGTAACAAGTTGCTTTTTTAAAAGAAAAACAAGCAAAAACAACTATAAATTCTCAGACACGATCCTCCCCAAAATGGTCTAGATTAATAGGTAGGTGAATGTTGCTCATTATACTAAAAACAAATATGTTACCAGTCATGCTGGTTTTTAAAAAGTCATCAGGGGTCAGTCACACTCAAAATTAATGTGTTATAGGTAATGTTGCTTGTAGTGAGTTGCTTTCCACACTCTGGGAACAAACAGCCCCTGTGTGGCATCAGAGGAAGACAGTTTTCTCATGTGAGGGCAATGTAAGGCTCCCGTGAATTGCTGGGAGGACTGGAACCCAGTGGAGGTCCTTCTATAATTAGTCAGTCTATCAAAGGTAAAAGAGCATCACTCACTGCCTTCTGTACCTGGCTCATTGTGATGTGAAGGTGGAGCCACACGATTCTGAACATCTTTTGGGGAGCCTCGGGCTTCATACTGGAAAGGAATTGGTGCTGGCCCTTGGGGTGGTGGGAGGATGGACTGTCTTTGTTTGATCTTCTCTTGATTTACCCTGCAGAGAAAGCAGCAACAAATCATGCTCATTACTGATGGGTTCTACTCACTGAACCAGCTAAGGCAGGACCAGATAAGGCTGGTGTGGTTTGCTTTATGTTTTGTGCAATTAATCCCCACTGCCAAAACAAAGAAACAAAATTACCGCTGAAAATATGAGAAATTTCTAACTGAGGTTTCATCCTGCCCCCAAAGAGTATCTCCTGATAAGGGTCAGTACTGATAAGGGTCACTACTAACTCATTTACTGGGTGCTCTAAAAGAATAAAATTAAAAATTTAAAAACAGATTTGTATAGGTCAGTGACGGCTGACCTATACAAACAAACAAGACCCCCAGTGGGTGGCAGGCAGTGGCGCTGGAAGCGGCGGCGGAAGGCAGGATCCCGGGCATGGAGGTGCCTCGAGACCCCACTCCAGCTCTGCCGCCAGTGCCAACTGCTCCAGATCTGCCTGTCGAAGCATAGCACCGCGGCTGCAGCCGCCTTCTCAGGTTTGGCTGCGTGGGGAGGAGTAGCGATCTGGCGACTTATGGCTCGCATGCCCGCAGAAAGGGCTCTGCATGCCAGCTGTGACACGCGTGCCATAGGTTCGCCATCACTGGTGTAGGTTGTTTATTGCACAAAATGTACAGCTAAGTCTACGAATACCTGCATGGAAGTGAAATCTAACCCAGCTCAATTGCACTTACTCTTAGGTAATGGTGTTTAAGCTCTATTTTACTTCTGTTAGTCCCCAGGCAAAACATAGAAGCAGCTCTACAGGTAATGAAATCCAAAGGTAGTAGCATAACTCTCTAAATCTCATACCCTATCAAACTTAGCCAACCATTCAGACTATTTATAGACCATTTTAGGCCACAAATCCCATATTCTGTAACACTTCACCAAAGTGCATACTGAAACACAAAAGGAGAGTTCAGAGTTCACAAACACATGGTCTAGTAATGTTAGATCTCTTCCACATTTACACCAGACATCTGGGTTAGTTATGCCCTGTCTGGAGTCACAAGCTCCACATTTTGGGCTGCCAAACAAAAGTGTATATGGAAACAATATGTGGGTTCATATGCACACAAAATGCCATATTGTCCAATTCTCTCCAAACCTAAGCCAAACATCAAGAACAGTGTCACAAACTGTCACCCACCAAAAGAGAGAGAGAGAGAGAGAGAGAGAGAGAGAGAGAACTAAACTGTCTGTTGCAGAGAGTGCTTCCAAAGACCTGGAACCCGAAGGGTTAACTGTGGCTGAAGAGAATGTGGAGAGATCAGAAACACCTGAACCGCCTCCAGATTCTCCTTCCACAGCAGACAGGCTTTGGGGCAGGCTTCCGGAAAGACTTAGGACCAGAAGATCAGAGGATCGCTCAAAGGCTGTCCACAGAAACTTACATGCATCTAGTTCTCAGTATTAACAGGATAGAAAGTTTTCCAGCAGCTCAAGGAAGCCAGAAATTCTGTGGAAGCAAGGAGTCAAAACCTTGGCTTGCATCCATGTTTCTTGTATGTGTTCCTGAACTCTGAACTCTGGACTCTGCCCTTGAACTTCGGACTCTGACTCTGGGCTATGCTGTGTATCGGACGCTGGACTCTGACACTGCACTTCCTTCTGTGAGTTGATTTATGGACATTTGCTTTGCATTCTTGGTATTCTTGACCCTGGACTGGTTTATCGGACTTTGGCTGTTGTAACCCCCGGGAATGTGACATCTGTGTAGATATGGTAGGTCAAATGGGCTGCTTTTATCTCCCATGAGCCTAAATGTGGCCCCAGTACCTATGGAGGCCTCCAGTACCCCCAGGCCCCAGAAAATGTCCTTAAAGTTCAAAAAGAAATAAATAAATCCAAACGTCTCTTTGTGCCTCTTCTATAGATGGTTGTTGTTGTTTAGTCGTTGTGTCCTACTCTTCGTAGCCCCATGGACCAGAGCATGCCAGGCCCTCCAGTCTTCCAGTGCCTCCTGGAGTTGGGTCAAAGTCATGTTGGTAGCTTCGACGAAACTGTCCAACCATCTCGTCCTCTGTCGTCCCCTTCTCCTCTTGCCCTCACACTTTTCTAACATCAGGGTCTTTTCCAGGGAGTCTTCTTTTCTTATGAGATGGCCAAAGTATTGGAGCCTAAACTCCAGGATCTGCCCTTTCAGTGAGCACTCAGGGTTGATTTCCTTCAGAGTGGATAGGTTTGCTCTCCTTGCAGTCCAGGGGACTCTCAAGAGCCTCTTCCAGCACCACTATTCAAAAGCATAAATTTTGCGGTGGTCAGCTTTTTTATGGTGCAGCTCTCACTTCCATACATCACTACTGGAAAAACCATAACTTTGACTATGCAGACTGTAAAGGTAGCAGGCCACTCTGACATCGCTGCCAACTCAGGCTCCCCGTGAGACAAGTCCTAGAAGGTTACCCACGCGTTCACTCAGACATCCCTGACTAAAGACCCCTGCTCTGGGCACCTTTCCAGTATCAGGCTTTACTGGATCTCTTCATATCCCACTCGCTGGACACCAATTATATGTAAAGGTAGCAGGCCACTCTGACATCGCTGCCAACTCAGGCTCCCCGTGAGACAAGTCCTAGAAGGTTACCCACGCGTTCACTCAGACATCCCTGACTAAAGACCCCTGCTCTGGGCACCTTTCCAGTATCAGGCTTTACTGGATCTCTTCATATCCCACTCGCTGGACACCAATTATATGTAAAGGTAGCAGGCCACTCTGACGTCACTGCCAACTCAGGCCTCTCAGAGTGCCCACCACACCACTTCACACTCGCTGCCACCAATTATAATGACTATTTAAGAAGCACAAAGGTTTCCTTCAAAACAAAACAGGTTTCTTGGTACACAAAATAAAATATGTAAATCATAGGTAGCTAATCAAGGTGTAAATCACTGTTTCTTATTTGATCAATCACAGACTTTCCCTCACTGACTACTTAGGCACACAGGCCTCTAAAAAAGCTCTTTCTCTCTCACACACCAGATCTCAACCTTTCTCTCCCTTCACACACCTTTTTCTTCCAGCTCCTCCCCCTTCAGCACCACCCTCCGTCACCCCATTGGCTGATGATCCACTGTCCAACTGTGATAGACAGGTGAGGTCAGGGCTGCCTGTTACACAGACCTTTGTCAGCAAGGTGATGTCTCTGCTTTTT